GCCATTAGAGAACATTTTCACATACAAGTCCACAAAGAATTAGAAAACAAACCCAATTTTAATAAACTCTCATATCTACTGGGTGAAATACCACAGTGTGCCATCACAGCTGCAAGATTTGTGACCTGTTGCCACAAGAAAAGGGCAACCAGTGAAGAACAAACACCATTGTAAGTACAACCCATATTTATGTTGATTTATTTTCCCATTTGTACTTTAACTATTTGCACATTGTTACAACACTGTATATAGACATAATATGACATTTGAAATGTCTTTATTCTTTTGGAACTACTGCGTGTAATGTTTACTGTTAATTTGTTATTGTTTATTTCACTTTTGTTTATTATCTACTTCACTTGCTTTGGCAATGTTAACACACGTTTCCCATGCCAATAAAGCCCTTAAATTGAATTGAAATTCAATTGAATTGAATTGAGAGATAGATAGATAGATAGATAGATAGAGAGAGAGAGAGAGAGAGAGAGAGAGAGAGCGCGAGAGAGAGAGAAAGATGTCAGAGATTTAGGACGTCAGAAGGGGTGGGAGGTGAGGGGTTTGAAGCAGAGCATCGGAGTTGACCCACCTAAAACAAACAGCACCTCATAAAGGCTTTATAGAGCGTTCATAAAGTCTTCATAAGCAGTACACATAAGCTTCCCAAATCATGAATGTGTCTAGAACTCACCCATACAGGAAGAGCAGGAGAACCAGGGCTGGCAGGTTGGTGGGTGAGGTGTAACACTTCTTGTCGAAGGCCACAAAGATGCCCACCACCATGGCTGTACTGAGCGAGTAGTTCATCTGGAGAGACAGGAGATGGAAAATATGGAAAACATTTAAATTGATGAAATCAGGGTAGAGCAAGTCACTGACCTATCACTGATTCGGCCGTGTCAATCCGATTCCAATTTGGCCCCACAGATCTGGTTAGAATGGCCGCCAGGGGAGGGAGAAACTGTGTGCACAATTTGGTACTTCTATCACGAAAGGTACAATTCAATATATTCAATACAGCTTGCAGGTAAGCATTTCATTGTACTGTGTACACCTCTGTATCCTCTGCATATGACAAATACATTTTGATTTGATTTGAATTCCATGCTCTAGAAACAGATGAGCGACACTGATTAAGAACAACATGCTACATAAGACTCCAGTTCCTCTTCCTGTAACTGTTACTTCCTCTTTGTGGGTCCAGTGCAGGTTACCATAAAGCACTTTGTCACAAATAATGTTATAAAAAAAAGGGATTTATAAATAACAGTTTATTGATTCATTGATTAACGTACCATGTCCCAGAAGAAATTGGCTAACCAGTAGACCAAGGGGCTGACCCCACTGACGAACTGGAGGTGTTTAGCCTTCGTGACTCTCTCCTGGATCAGGTAGAGGACAAAGGAGGCTGGGATGAAGGACATGGCAAAGATCACACAGATAGCTGTCACCGCGTCTACTGATGTCTTCAACCTGGGAGAGGAGAGAGAGATAGTTATATAATAGAGAGATAGTCAACCTAGGGGACCGACAGTTTAGATAATAGAGAGATAGTCACCCTAGGGGACAGACAGGTTAGATAATAAAGAGATGGTCACCCTAGGGGACAGACAGGTTAGATAGTAGAGATATGGTCACCCTAGGGGACAGACAGGTTAGATAGTAGAGATATGGTCACCCTGGGGGACAGACAGGTTAGATAATAGAGATATGGTCACCCTAGGGGACAGACAGGTTAGATAGTAGAGATATGGTCACCCTAGGGGACAGACAGGTTAGATAGTAGAGATATGGTCACCCTGGGGGACAGACAGGTTAGATAATAGAGATATGGTCACCCTGGGGGACAGACAGGTTAGATAGTAGAGATATGGTCACCCTAGGGGACAGACAGGTTAGATAGTAGAGATATGGTCACCCTAGGGGACAGACAGGTTAGATAGTAGAGATATGGTCACCCTGGGGGACAGACAGGGACACAGACAGACAGACACATAAGTAGAAGGAAGATAACCTGGGAGAAGAAATGACTTACAGACATTTTCAGCATATTCAACATATTCAACTGTGATTAGTTATTGTATTGTTTTAAGAGAGGGAACTAGTGTAACTTACACAGTGACTTCAGACAGTTGTTCCTTGGTGAGGTTGAGGGGGTGGTTGATGGCTGTGATGCCATACTCCATGGGGTCAACGTTACGAGGCAGGTGTGCCCTCAGAATGGCGTTGTTGGCCACATTCATGAAGGCTACCATGGCGTGCCAGCCTTTGTTGTTATACCAGACCTGGTTTGGGTAGCATTCAATATACAACACGTTTTGTAAAAAAAATATATGTATTACCTTTATGGGAGTAGAGGCACGTTCAACTTTATGAAACATTTTTGAAATGTTCTAAAATATGGAGTCATATACATGCCAAAACGAATACAAATAAATACATTGAAATAAAATAATGTCAGGTTACTGTTTTATAATGTCATTTGAGGACAGGTTGTGCTTCTGGAGATCATGAACATCTCAGGTAACATTATAATATAACATAATGTCATGATTCAGAGGGGTATGACAGCCAGTAAATAACTCACCTTGACATTGTATTCACTTTCCATGTATCTGAGGAAAGGTCCAATCTCCTGCAGCGATAGCTTCGTGTAGGGACCCTGCGGAATTATAAAAACATATTGTGTAGTTGAGCTAACTATAAATCTCACTCACTTAATTCCTACCACATTTAGCAGACGCTCTTATCCATTTTTTTTTTTTATACTGGCCCCCCGTGGGAATCGAACCCACAACCCTGGCGTTGCAAACGCCATGCTCTATCAACTGAGCTACATCCCTGCCGGCCATTCCCTCCCCTACCCTGGACGACGCTGGGCCAATTGTGCGCCGCCCCATGGGTCTCCCGGTCGCGGCCGGCTGCGACAGAGCCTGGATTCGAACCAGGATCTCTAGTGGCAAAGTTTGCACTGCGATGCAGTGCCTTAGACCACTGCGCCACTCGGGAGTACAACTACTGATGCATGTCCCATCCCCCCAGAGCCCAGGATGCGGCCGTGGGGAGGACGGGCTCATAGTAATGTCTGGAATGGAGTGAATGGAATGGAATGGAAGATGTGTTTGATACCATTCCATTAATCACCATTCCAGACATTACTATGAGCCTGTCCTCCCCAATTAAGGTGCCATCAGCCTCCTGTGCTCCAGATGTCTGAGCCGCTAGGCTAGGTATGTAGTGATCCGTACCCCAGTGACCGCTAGGCCAGGTATGTAGTGATCCGTACCCCAGTGACCGCTAGGCCAGGTATGTAGTGATCCGTACCCCAGTGACCGCTAGGCCAGGTATGTAGTGATCCGTACCCCAGTGACCGCTAGGCCAGGTATGTAGTGATCCGTACCCCAGTGACCGCTAGGCCAGGTATGTAGTGATCCGTACCCCAGTGACCGCTAGGCCAGGTATGCAGTGATCCGTACCCCAGTGACGTTGAGCATCTTCATCAGCTGAGTGAGGGTATCCTGGATCTGTTTAGGGCTGACTTCCAGTATGGGCAGCTGACCTCCAACAGACAGGCCTCCGTACCTGAGGACCAACGACACAGTCATACCCACAACCCTCCATACCTGAGGACCAACGACACAGTCATACCCACAACCCTCCGTACCTGAGGACCAACGACACAGTCATACCCACAACCCTCCGTACCTGAGGACCAACGACACAGTCATACCCACAACCCTCCGTACCTGAGGACCAACGACACAGTCATACCCACAACCCTCCGTACCTGATGACCAACTACACAGTCATACCCACAACCCTCCATACCTGAGGACCAACAACACAGTCATACTCACAACCCTCCATACCTGAGGACCAACAACACAGTCATACTCACAACCCTCCATACCTGAGGACCAACCACACAGTCATACCCACAACCCTCCGTACCTGAGGACCAACGACACAGTCATACCCACAACCCTCCGTACCTGAGGACCAACGACACAGTCATACCCACAACCCTCCGTACCTGAGGACCAACCACACAGTCATACCCACAACCCTCCGTACCTGAGGACCAACTACACAGTCATACCCACAACCCTCCATACCTGAGGACCAAAAACACAGTCATACCCACAACCCTCCATACCTGAGGACCAACGACACAGTCATACCCACAACCCTCCGTACCTGAGGACCAACGACACAGTCATACTCACAACCCTCCATACCTGAGGACCAACGACACAGTCATACCCACAACCCTCCACACACATTACACAAACTCAACCGAGACACAGTGTAAGACAAATAAGCTAAACTAAAACTGATATTTTGTTTGCGATGAGATGTCTTTAGAAAATAAATCAATTAATAAAAGCATACCTTTGTTCATTCACCCAGTATTTGCTCTTCAAACTGGAAATGGAAAATAAAATAATGAAATGAGGAGAGATGCATATATCATTCAAACACAACGTGCCATTGGAACAGTGGACTGATGGTTTCTGATAATGGGGCTCTGTACGCCAATGAAGATATTCCATTAAAATTCAGCTGTTTCCAGCTACAATAGCCCTTTACAACATAACAATGTCTACATTGTATTTCTGATCAATTTGATGTTATTTTAATGGACAGACAAATTGCTTTTCTTTTGAAAACAAAGACATTTCTAAGTGACCCCAAACTTTTGAACGGTAGCATACCTACAGTTGAAGTCGGATGTTTACATACACCTTAGCCAAATACATTTAGACTCAGTTTTTCACAATTCCTGACATTTAATCCTAGTAAAAATTCCCTGCCTTAGGTCAGTTAGGATCACCACTTTATTTTAAGAATGTGAAATGTCAGAATATTAGTAGAGAGAATGATTTATTTCAGCTTAAAATTTCTTTCATCACATTCCCAGTGGGTCAGAAGTTTACATACACTCAATTAGTATTTGGTAGCATTGCCTTTAAATTGTTTAACTTGGGTCAAACGTTTCGGGTAGCCTTCCACAAGCTTCCCACAATAAGTTGGGTGAATTTTGGCCCATTCCTCCTGACAGAGCTGGTGTAACTGAGTCAGGATTGTAGGCCTCCTTGCTCACACATGCTTTTTCAGTTCTGCCCACACATTTTCTATAGGATTGAGGTCAGGGCTTTGTGATGGCCACTCCAATACCTTGACTTCGTTGTCCTTAAGCCATTTTGCCACAACTTTGGAAGTATGCTTGGGGTCATTGTCCATTTGGAAGACCCATTTGTGACCAAGCTTTAACTTCCTGACGGATGTCTTGAGATTTTGCTTCAATATATCCACATAATTTTCCTTCCTCATGATGCAATCTATTTTGTAAAGTGCACCATTCCCTCCTGCAGCAAAGCACCCCCACAGCATGATGCTGCCACCCCCGTGCTTCACGGTTGGGATGGTGTTCTTCGGCTTGCAAGTAACCCCCTTTTTCTTCCAAACATGACGATGGTCATTATGGCCAAACAGTTCTATTTTTGTTTCATCAGACCAGAGGACATTTCTCCAAAAAGTACGATCTTTGTCCCCATGTGCAGTTGCAAACCGTAGTCTGGCTTTTTTATGGCGGTTTTGGAGCAGTGGCTTCTTCCTTGCTGAGTGGCCTTTCAGGTTATGTCGATATAGGACTCGTTTTATTGTGGATATAGATACTTTTGTACCTGTTTCCTCCAGAATCTTCACAAGGTCCTTTGCTGTTGTTCTGGGATTGATTTGCACTTTTCGCACCAAAGTACGTTCATCTCTAGGAGACAGAACGCGTATCCTTCCTGAGCGGTATGATGGCTGCGTGGTCCCATGGTGTTTATACTTGCGTACCATTGTTTGTAGAGATGAACGTGGTACCTTCAGGCGTTTGGAAATTGCTCGCAAGAATGAACCAGACTTGTGGAGGTCTGCAATTTTTTTTCTGAGGTCTTGGCTGATTTCTTTTGATTTTCCCATGATGTCAAGCAAAGAGGCACTGAGTTTGAAGGTAGGCCTTGAAATACATCCAGAGGTACACCTCCAATTGACTCAAATGATGTCAATTAGCCTATCAGAAGCTTCTAAAGCCATGACATAATTTTCTGGAATTTTCCAAGCTGTTTAAAGGCACAGTCAACTTAGTGTATGTAAACTTCTGACCCACTGGAATTGTGATATAGTGATTTATAAGTGTAATAATCTGTCTGTAAACAATTGTTGGAAAAATTACTTGTGTCATGCACAAAGTAGATGTCCTAACCGACTACATGTGTGGAGTGGTTGAAAAACGAGTTTTAATGACTCCAACCTAAGTGTATGTAAACTTCCCGACTTCAACTGTATCATCAGTGGACTTCTGCCGTTTGACATGGATGACTCTAACAGATGAATATATCATCAGTGGACATGGGATGACTGGAACTCTACCACACCTGTCTGATGCGTATAGCACACGTCTACGATGACGATGTTAGTTGGTGGTGTACGGACCCTTACCTTTCTCTGATGAGCCTGGGGTAGGTTTTAACCAAGTAGTCTGTAATGTTTCTATCAGTCAGATCCAGTAGCGTATCCCCCGTGGCCTCTTTCCTCTGCGAAGACATCGCACACGACACATACCATCACACTGTATACATTAAACAGCTTGATAACACACGATCAGAAATACAACAGTGTTTCCCAAACCTCTCCTCGGGTACCCCCTAGCCAGTCCAGTTATTTGATGTATTCCAATACTAGCACTGCAGATTCAACTAATGAAGAACTTGATGATTAGGTGACTTTTTGAATACATCAAAGAACTGGACTGGATAGGGGTACTGGAGGAAAGATTTCTGGGGGTGAGGTTTGGACTGGCTGGGGTGTACTGGGGAAGAGATTTGGACTGGCTAGGGGTACTGGAGGAGATATTTGGACTGGCTAGGTGTTATGATGAGTTTCTAGGGTATCAGGTGATTAAGAATGTAAGGATGTACTTAGACACTTTTGATGGGGAGTTCATATAATATATTTAATATGGTACCATGGTTAGTTATAACAGAAGAAGGACATAGCCCTGCCTCTGCCATCTTCCGAACTCCAGAACAAAGAGATCCTCTCAGCTTATTACACGTTTCTTCACGAGCATCTGATACCCATCAGTGGGCATTCCCTTCTTTGATGTTATTACCCTTTACCCCCAAGTCAGTATATCCTGTCCATCAATCATTCTAAGATCAACATCAGCAATCTCCTTTGACATAAGGAATGCAGACTCTGTGGCACCATGTCACTTATCTACCAACTCTCCCCTGGGTCACACAACACTATGAAATGACATCATTACACTAGGGGTACTGGAGGAGAGGTTTGGACTGACTGGGGGGTACCAGGGGAGAGATTTGGACTGGCCAGGGGTACTGGAGGAAAGGTTTGGACTGGCTGGGGGGTACTGGGGGAGAGGTTACTGGAGGGCAGGTTAATGGAGGACAGGTTACTGGAGGACAGGTTACTGGAGGACAGGTTACTGGAGGACAGGTTTCTGGAGGACAGGTTACTGGAGGACAGGTTAATGGAGGACAGGTTACTGGAGGACAGGTTACTGGAGGACAGGTTACTGGAGAGCAGGTTACTGGAGGACAGGTTACTGGAGGACAGGTTACTGGAGAGCAGGTTACAGGAGGACAGGTTACTGGAGGACAGGTTACTGGAGGACAGGTTACTGGAGGACAGGTTACTGGAGGACAGGTTACTGGAGAGCAGGTTACTGGAGGACAGGTTACTGGAGGACAGGTTAATGGAGGACAGGTTACTGGAGAGCAGGTTACTGGAGGACAGGTTACTGGAGGACAGGTTAATGGAGGACAGGTTACTGGAGGACAGGTTACTGGAGGACAGGTTACTGGAGAGCAGGTTACTGGAGGACAGGTTACTGGAGGGCAGGTTACTGGAGGGCAGGTTACTGGAGGGTAGGTTACAGGAGGACAGGTTACTGGAGGACAGGTTAATGGAGGACAGGTTACTGGAGAGCAGGTTAATGGAGGACAGGTTACTGGAGGGCAGGTTACTGGAGGGCAGGTTACTGGAGGACAGGTTACTGGAGGACAAGTTACTGGAGGACAGGTTAATGGAGGACAGGTTACTGGAGGACAGGTTACTGGAGGGCAGGTTACTGGAGGGTAGGTTACAGGAGGACAGGTTACTGGAGGACAGGTTAATGGAGGACAGGTTACTGGAGAGCAGGTTAATGGAGGACAGGTTACTGGAGGGCAGGTTACTGGAGGACAGGTTACTGGAGGGCAGGTTACTGGAGGACAGGTTACTGGAGGGCAGGTTACTGGAGGGCAGGTTACTGGAGGACAGGTTACTGGAGGACAGGTTAATGGAGGACAGGTTACTGGAGGACAGGTTACTGGAGGACAGGTTACTGGAGGGCAGGTTACTGGAGGACAGGTTACTGGAGAGCAGGTTACAGGAGGACAGGTTACTGGAGGACAGGTTACTGGAGGACAGGTTACTGGAGGACAGGTTATTGGAGGACAGGTTACTGGAGGACAGGTTACTGGAGGATAGGTTAATGGAGGACAGGTTATTGGAGGACAGGTTACTGGAGGACAGGTTACTGGAGAGCAGGTTACTGGAGGACAGGTTACTGGAGGACAGGTTAATGGAGGACAGGTTACTGGAGAGCAGGTTACTGGAGGACAGGTTACTGGAGGACAGGTTAATGGAGGACAGGTTACTGGAGGACAGGTTACTGGAGGACAGGTTACTGGAGAGCAGGTTACTGGAGGACAGGTTACTGGAGGGCAGGTTACTGGAGGGCAGGTTACTGGAGGGTAGGTTACAGGAGGACAGGTTACTGGAGGACAGGTTAATGGAGGACAGGTTACTGGAGAGCAGGTTAATGGAGGACAGGTTACTGGAGGGCAGGTTACTGGAGGACAGGTTACTGGAGGGCAGGTTACTGGAGGGCAGGTTACTGGAGGACAGGTTACTGGAGGACAAGTTACTGGAGGACAGGTTAATGGAGGACAGGTTACTGGAGGACAGGTTACTGGAGGGCCGGTTACTGGAGGTAGGTTACAGGAGGACAGGTTACTGGAGGACAGGTTAATGGAGTACAGGTTACTGGAGAGAAGGTTAATTGAGGACAGGTTTACTGGAGGGCAGGTTACTGGAGGACAGGTTACTGGAGGGCAGGTTACTGAGGCAGGTTACTGGAGGGCAGGTTACTGGAGGACAGGTTACTGAGACAGGTTAATGGAGGACAGGTTACTGGAGGACAGGTTACTGGAGGACAGGTTACTGGAGGGCAGGTTACTGGAGGACAGGTTACTGGAGGACAGGTTACTGCTGTAACATATAAGAAAGATTCAGTATACACAGAGAACAGTCAGTATACTGACCTGCATAGGGGGCAGCCCCCCAGCTCCGATTGGACAGATGGGTAACATAGTCAGCTTCTTATTGGTGCTGCACTGGCAGGAAGGGGAGGGGTTTAGCGGGTGCCACTCAGGGCTCTGCATGATGTTATTGGCTATTGGAGAAACCTCAGGTGTATCCCAGCCCAATGTCTCGTTCCCACAGGGCAGGTTTCTGTATGGACAAAGCACACACAAACATCACAGGAACACACACAACACGTTAGCAGAGAACTTGGTGATTTATAGTTAGTAGAGTAGAGGGAGATTTCAGACAACTAGTCAAAACACAGGCCTGGCCTGTCTTCAACCTAGAGTAGCTGGTACTCACTTTAGAGGTTCTCCTGCCATACAGCGAGTCCCAAGGCCCGGCGGGTTCAGCAACACCTTGGTGAAATGTCTCATCTGGTAGTTTTCCAGTCGCTCGTTACTGAGAACAGAAGGAAGGAAGAAGAGAAGAACAGGTTGAAGAACAGGGTCATGACCTTCTGGTTAGATACCTAGTGTGATGTCTCTGCGTTCATGAAACAATTCAAGTGGCTGGTCCAAGACCATGCGATCAGGACCAGCCAGGATCAGAGTATTCAGACATTGAGATTAAAATCCTGTGTGGGGTTCTCTTGGTGAGTTGCCAGTGGTATTCTCCAAACAGAGAGAGACTAACCTGAAAAATGTGAACTGCTGACCGTACATCCAGGGAGTGAGGGTGAGGGGAGGGTACTCTCCAAATGGAGGTACAATCATGGTGAAGATCAGGGCTATCAGGACGAAGCTAGCAGGCAGGACGATCTGCGGACACCAAACCATTCACACTATTACTCAAAGGACACCATCTCAGTTTTCCCGGACCCTATGTGACCTGACCAGGAAACCTCTGGATTCTAGGTATGTTATTCTACCCCTGAATCCCCAAACCATCCCCTACCCCCCTGGGCACTTGACCAGCAGGGGCCATGAAGTGCTTTATCCAAATTTCCCACCCTCCCTCCCCTCCCTCCCTCCCTCCCTCCCTCCCTCCCTCCCCCTCCTCCCTCCCTCTCCACCATCCCTCCCTCCCTCCCTCCCTCCCTCCATCCATCCATCCATCCATCCCACCCCCCTCCCTCCCTCCTCCCCACCATCCCTTCCTCTTCCCTCCCTCCCTCCCTCCCTCCATCCCACCCTCCCTCCTCCATCCTCCTCCCACCCTCCCCCTCCCTCCCTCCCACCATCCCTTCCTCTGTCCCTCCATCCCTCCCTATATCTAGTTATAGTCCAGTACCTGGGGCGAGGAAGTCTTTGTATGATCTGGTAGCGTGGTGAAACCTCTTGACCAGCAGGGCCAGTAACTGCTTTATGACCAGTTGGCTCCTTTGACCTCCCTCGACCCTTTCCCAGCGCTGCTGTCGTCGGCATGGTTACCCTCACCGTTGGCCTGCTTCAAACCGTTAGCCTCTGTGTAGTAGGACCAGGAGAAGATAGTCATTCGGAAGTGGATATATTCGACCGGCAGGTACAAAGGTTAAGGTTTAGGCATAGGGTTCCTCAAACTGTGTTAGTTTGCTGAGCTAAAGCATTAGCTTTGGATTTCAGGAAAGGTAGTCTCGCTTGGTCTGACTTACATGCTTAGCCAAAATGATACTGTGAGTCTTGTCTTACCAGACTAAAGGCACCAACCATTTACATTTCTCTAGCCAAGCGCCTGGTGTGGGAGGCTATCAAAGCAGGCAGACTTAGTGGCTGATACTACCCTTCAGGTCCATCTCCTCCACACCAACTGGTGTGAAAGCAGGCAGACTTAGTGGCTGATTCTACCCTTCAGGTTCATCCTCCTCCACACCAACTGGTGTGAAAGCAGGCAGACTTAGTGGCTGATTCTACCCTTCAGGTCCATCTCCTCCACACCAACTGGTGTGAAAGCAGGCAGACTTAGTGGCTGATTCTAACCTTCAGATCCATCTCCTCCACACCAACGGGTGTGAAAGCAGGCAGACTTAGTGGCTGATTCTAACCTTCAGGTTCATCCTCCTCCACACCGACTTTATTGCAGCTTTTTGTTCTCTTCAGCAACATCCACTGTTCTATGGTAGGGTGGTCCACAGGTCACAACACAATACAACACAATACAACATAACACAACACAACACAACACAACACAACACAATACAACACAACACAACACAACTCAATGCAATACAACTCAACACAACTCAATACAACATAACACAACACAACTCAATACAAGACTTCAAAACACCTCACAACAACAACATCAACAACAACATCAACAGAAACTACTTATAAGAGGAACATTCATAAGCAAAGGAAAAGAAGGTAGGAAGTAGATTGGACTGTAGACTGTAGGGTGGTGAGCGTGGCATTCACCTGGAGTTTTGGTATTGGCTGCTGCCTCCCCATCTGCTGTCACCTTCAGAAAGATCTGGAGGGAAGAAACATTATCTATTCATTTGGACCCAATGTATGTGTTCAAATAGAATACAGGCCACCTACTCTTGTACCCCTGACCATGTGTGCCAAATTTCACCATGATCCCGAGTGAAAAACACGTGGCTTGAAATACAAATAGGCTAAGTAAATAAAAAAGGATTTGGCCAGTTTCTTAGCCAGTTTCTTAGCCAGTTCGAAATCTTGCTAGTCAGAAAGTTATTAATGAAGTGCTTTAAAAAGCTGCTTGACGATGTCATCAGACGGGGACTAGTCTCTACCCCCTCAACCCCACCCTCACCCTGACCCCCGCCTCCTCCCCCACCTTCCCCAGTCCCTACCTCTTCCAGCGATGTGTCAGAGATGCAGTGTTTCCTCCTCCTCCCCTATCACCACCCCCCACCTACCTCCTCCTCCTCCTCCCCTACCACACCCCCCACCTACCTCCTCCTCCTCCACCCCACCACCCCCCCCACCTACCACCTCCTCCACCCCCCCACCCCCCCACCCCCTACCTCCTCCTCCTCCCTCCCCTACCACCCCCCACCTACCTCCTCCTCCCCTACCACCCCCCACCTACCTCCTCCTCCTCCTCCCCTACCACCCCCCCACCTACCTCCTCCTCCTCCTCCCCTACCCCCCCACCCTACTCCCTCCTCCTCCTCCACCCCACCACCCCCACCTCCTCCACCCTCCTCCACCCCCCCCACCCCCCACCTCCCTCCTCCTCCTCCCACCCCACCACCCACCCCCACCTCCACCCACCCCTCCGTCCCCCCCCCCCACCCCCCACCTACCTCCTCCTCCTCCTCCCCCTACCACCCCCCCACCTACCCTCCTCCTCCCCTACCCCCCCCACCCACCCCTACCTCCTCCTCCTCCTCCCCTACCACCCCCCACCTACCTCCTCCTCCTCCTCCCCTACCACCCCCCCACCTACCTCCTCCTCCTCCACCCCACCACCCCCCACCTACCACCTCCTCCACCCCCCCACCCCCCCACCTACCTCCTCCTCCTCCTCCCCTACCACCCACCCCCACCTCACCCCACCTCCTCCACCCCCCCCACCCCCCCACCTACCTCTTCCTCCTCCCAATACTCTCCCCTCCCCCCCCCCACCTCCCTCCTCCTCTCCTCCCCTACCACCCACCCCCACCTACCCCCCCCAAACCCCCGTTTTACCTCCCCTACCACATTCCCCCTCCTCCCCTCCTATCTCCCCCTACCCCCCCACCCCACCCCCTCCTTGAGGGGTCTGAATGCAAAACTCTGAGGCCCATTTTTCTCAGGGTCTTTTCCCACCCTCCCCCCACCCCCCCACCCCCTCCCCTCCTCCCCCTCCCATCCCATCCCCTTCCCCCCAACTCCCCCCCATCCCTACCTCCCCATGAGGTGTCAAGACCCCCCCGAACTGCTGAGGCCCGTCTCCCGTGTTTCCCCCCGCCTCTAAAAGAGGGGGCTTCCCCGGGTGCTTAACCCCTTTTGGGGCAGCAAAAAGGTCAGCCCTTTGCCGTGGCCCGATCATTTGGCTTCTGGGACGTGGTGATGGATCAGCGTGGTGATGTTTGTCCACATCACCTGGGAGAAGAGACAAACGTTTTGTAAATTGATTGATTGATTGACTGATTGATGATGAGGGAGGATGGATTTGGGAGTAATATTACGAACTGGGGGTTATTGGAGTATCTAGACACACCCACACCAACGATCAAACCCCCCAAACACGATCAAAATCACACATCCACACAAACACTAAACCCCCACACCCCCCCACCATCCCAAACTCTCTCCAGCTGCTGGGCTGGCCCCCGGGGTTCCCTTTGACTTTGGGGCAGGTGGAAAGGACAGGAAAACCCCTAGGGACATCCCCACTCATTCTGATGGGGCAGAGAAACAAAAGAACGCAAAAGAAGAGGAAAGACAACACAAACATACAGACAAAAAAGAGAGAGAGAGAAAGAGAGAAAAGAGAAAAGGAGGAGAGGAGAGAGAAATGGGTTTTTTGGGTTTGCCCTCTCTTCTCTCCTCCTCTTCCTCCTCCTCCACCTCTTTCCTCTCTCTCCCCCTCCCCTCCCTCTCCTCTCGTCCCCCCTTTTTTCTCTCCTCCCCTCCCCTCTTCCCTCCCCCTCTACCCCCTTTTCCCCTCTCTCTCTCTCCCCCTTTTTCCCCCACTCTCTCTCTTGCTCTCTCTCCCCCTCTCCCCTCCTTTTCCCTCTCTCTCTCTCTTTCTTTCTCTCCCGCTCTCTCTCTCTCTTTTTGCCCCCTTTTTTTCCCCCCTTTCTGCTCTCCTCTCCCCTTCCCCCCCCCTCTCCTCTCTCCCCTTTCCCTCCCTCCCTCCCCCTCCCTCTCCCCCTTTTTTCCCCGGGGGGCAAAAGAAAAAGGCCCTGAGTTAAGGGAACCCCCTGAAACAAAAAGGGCCCCTTCTCTCTTCCCTCCCCCCCTTTTCCTGTTTCTCCCCCCTGCTCCCTTCTCTCTCTTCTCCTCCTCCTCCTTTTCCCCCCTCCCCCCCCCCTGCCTCCCCCCCCCCCCCCCCCCCCCCGCCCCCCAAAAATTTTTGGGGGGCACCCCCCTTTCTTTTTTTCCCCCCCCCAAATCTCTTCCCCCCCGCCCCTTCTTGCTCTAGTCTTTCCCCCCCCCTTCCCTCTTTCCCCCCCCCACCCCTTTCCCCCCTCCCCCCCCCCCCTTCCCTCCCCCCTTAAACCCCCCTCCTTCCCACCTCCCCCCCTTCCCCCGCAACCCCCCCTTTGGGCCCCCGCTCTCTCTCCCCCCTCCCCCCTCCCCTTCCTCCTTCACCCCTTCCTCCTCTCCCCCCTCTTTCCTCTCTCTCTCCCCTTCCCCTCCTTTTCTCTCCCCAAACCCCGGGGCACAAAAACCCCTTTTCAAACCCCTTTATTTCCCCTTTTCCCAGACTTTTTCGCATCCCTACTTTACGGGGAAGGCGAAACGTTTTTTTTTTGGGGCAAAAGGAAAATGTGCTTTCTGGCCCTTACCCTTGTATGCCCTTAATTCCCAATCATTTTTAAATCGGGCCTTGTTTTTTTTTGCACGGAAAAATACAGGAACCTTCTCGCCAGCCGTGATTGGCTGAGATCATGGATGGGCTGGACATGCCGAGAGAGATGAGTTCAGATTGGTCTGCCATGTAGCATGGTTCTGTCTATAACATGAGCTGCTAAGTATGTGTGGATAATCCTGTCTACCGCGGCTTTAAAAAAATATATAGATATCATGAAGAACTGAAAAAGTTTTGCTACTGCGCTCGTCATTGCTGCCCTGAAGTGTGGCTAAGTTGGTAGAGCATGACGCTTGCAACGCCAGTGTTGTGGGTTCGATTCCCACGGGCACCAGTGCATGAACGTATGCACTCACTACTGTATGTCGCACTGAATAAGAGCTTCTGTTAAATAACAAAAACGATGTATATTTAATGGCGCTATCGGCAAAGCTCAGTGGGAAACTGTTGTGATGGACTAGTAGTTTCTGGAGGATGATCGTACCATTCTGACTCTGAAAATGAATCAGACGATGAGGAAATCCCTGATTTAGATAAGAACATTTTCATTGAACCGGACATCGTAGAGTCGTCTGATGACAATGGTGGGGAAGAAAACGGTGTCGTTGACCAAGTTTTGAAATCAGTGGAATGCCCGCTGGAAGCAGAGAGGTGATTTCCAAATACAGAGAGGGCAGAAAGAAGGCTGTTGTATGACATCTTCAAACTAAGGGCAAACATGGCATCCGTGACAGAGGGAGAAGCGTTCATTTACATTTACATTTACATCATTTAGCAGACGCTCTTATCCAGAGCGACTTACAAATTGGTGCATTCAACTTATGATAGCCAGTGGGACAACCACTTTTTTTTCCTTTATACAGAGGCCCTCTATCAGGTCCTTTACACAGAGGCCCTCATCCAGATCCTTTACACAGAGGCCCTCTATCAGGTCCTTTACACATAACAGAGGTGGCGCTTAGGCTTAAAGAGGTACGTCTGATATGGGTGTAGACAAAGAGCTCCAGTAGTGTCCCAAAACTTCAGGGCCATTTCATCAAAAGTGGGGTTACAAGTTATCAACTTTCAAAGCAATTACTTTCCCAGTTCCCTCACCTGTAGTGTAGATTACCATTTTCTAGGTCTAGTCTCACTTTATCCAATGTAAAAACACAATCAACTTTTGCTACTAGGCCGAATCCAGGTGGTGGGTCACAATACTTTGAACATAAGATACTCAGATCCCAGTTACATCGTTCTGCACAGAAGATGAGAATAAGTAACCTCTACAGTCCTTTAACAGGCCCTCTATCAGGTCCTTCACAGAGGCCCTAGCCAGACCTTTCACACTTTGACCAGAGTCACTAGAGGCCATATGCTTCTGAAGGTAGATGACACATAGCAGGCTCCTTAGCCAATATGTCCCTTCACCTCTTTAATACAATTCTAGTGTATCACCTCCCCCCTCTTTAATACTATTCTAGTGTAGTCCTCACCTCTTTTTTCCTCATATCCTTCATGCGTCGGACCAGGGTGAGGTAGAATCCCACTCCGAAGCAGTTCTTGAGGAAGAGGGGGGAGCCGCAGCAGTGGAGCTGGCCCTTAGAGATGATGGCTACACGGTCAGACAACAGGTCGGCCTCGTCCATGTGGTGAGTGGACAGGATCACTGTACGGCCTGGGGTTAGAGGTTAGAGGTCAGAGGTCAGGACAAGGAGCTAGGTCACTCAACAGGTCAGCCTCGTCCATGAGGTGAGAGGACAGGATCACTTGCACGCCCTGGGAGAGAGGGGTCAGAGGTTAGAGAGAGTTGATTGGATAGGGAATCAAGCTGTAAGCTATCTGTAGGCAAGGTGGAGCAGGGATGGGAAACACCAGTCCTTGAAGGCCTGAGTGTCTGCTGGTTCTCTCTTCAGCCTGGCACTGAATTGCTCACAGAGAAGTGCCGGAACATGGTCTCCCAGATGTAAACCAGGTGTAGTGGCTAGGGTAGTACCTGTGCGGTATTTGAGTAGCAGGTCCCAGATGGATCGTCTGGAGTAAGGGTCGACCCCCGACGTGGGCTCATCCAGGATCACAATCTTTGACCCCCCAACAAACGCCATAGCAACAGACAGCTTCCTCTGCATACCGCCTGCACGGAGTGAGAAGAGACGTTATTTCAGGGGCAACACAAGAAACAAGAGACAATGTAGGGTAAAACACTACAAAATCTGAGTCATTGCTAGGGCCTGGCTAATTTATTTGCAGTAACAAAGGTTCGACAAAGAAAAAGGAAGACCTCGAAACAGTATCTGCTCACAAGTGTGTTTCAAGCCTGACTGACCCCCCTGAGAGCTCCTGTGCCTCGACCCCCCTGAGAGGTCCTGTGCCTCGACCCCCCTGAGAGATCCTGTGCCTCGACCCACCTGAGAGGTTCTGTGCCTCGACCCACCTGAGAGGTTCTGTGCCTCGACCCACCTGAGTGGTCCTGTGCCTCGACCCCCCTGAGAGGTCCTGTGCCTCGACCCCCCTGAGAGGCTCTGTGCGTGACCCACCTGAGAGGTTTTGTGCCTCCTCGTCTCTCTTATGAGGCAGGCCCAGATCCTCCAACATGTCCTCGACCGCCTGTTGAGCCTCAGCCTGAGACGTGCCCTTCAGCATGGAGTAGAACAGGATGTGTTCCTCCACCGTTAGACTGGACAGAGAGAGGGAGTGGGGAGGGACGGGTGCAGGGACGGGGACGGGGACGGGGACGGGGGCAGGAGAGGTTGTTAGTCACTACAGCAGACAGTGAACAAATGTCTTGCAACAGCAAAAAAAAGAGAGAAGAAAATATGTTTGTCAGTCAGTCAGCTGAATTGACTAGACTGTTAATTGTAGGAAACAAACATTCATCAATTTGTTATGTCATCAATTTCCCAGTCCTATGCCTGACCTGACTACTCAAGTTTCTATGGCAAGTGCCAGTGGGTATATGGATGACATTGTACTGGGGACACAGAGCCATGGAGGAGGAAGAGGAGGAGGAGGAGGAGGAGGAGGAGGAGGAGGAGGAGGAGGAGGAGGAGGAAGAGGAGGAGGAGGAGGAGGAGGAGGAGGAAGAGGAGGACTCACTGTTTGAAGAGGATATTGTACTGGGGACACATGCCCATGGATGTGCGGATGCTGTCCATGTCGGTCCTGATGTCTCTCCCGTTGATAAAGGCTGTTCCAGATGTAGGAGGGAACAGACCAGTCAGGATAGACCTGGTAGAGACAAACACACACACACACACACACACACACACACACACACACACACACACACACACACACACACACACACACACACACACACACACACACACACACACACACACACAAACACACACACACACACACACACACACACACACACACACACACAAACACACACACACAAACACACACACACACACACACACACACACACACACACAAACAAACACACACATGCGATTAAGAAGAGCATGATGGTATGTCATGAACACTATTAAGTAATCTCGGCACCCAGAACCAAATCTTGCATGCACACTAACCAGCAACTCAATTTCTGTCACGAGACTATCACCTTTTTTTATTCCTCACAGACATTTTCTCTGGATAGCGCTCTCGATCGCTAATAGCTGTATTCAAACATTTAGGCTAATTCAATATGGATAGTTGATATCCTACACCACAACATTAGGAAAATAAAATGAGTGCTCTGCAGACTAGGTAGTGGTTTGGGGCAGCCTGGTCTCAGATCTGTTGTGATATCTGCAGATCTCCTGTAGTCTACAGTGTTAGAACAGAACAGATCTGTTGGATTACTGCAGATCTCCTGTAGTCTACAGCGTTAGAACAGAACAGATCTGTTGTGATCTCTGCAGATCTCCTGTAGTCTACAGCGTTAGAACAGAACAGATCTGTTGTGATCTCTGCAGATCTCCTGTAGTCTACAGCGTTAGAACAGATCTAGGACCAGGCTTAGGTACAGTACGTACATGGTGGTGGTTTTCCCGGCACCGTTGTGTCCCAGGAACGATGTGATCTGCCCCTCGTAGAAGGCGATGCTGAGGTGATCCACGGCGGGACGGGAGCCCCCAGGAAACACCTTGACCAAGTCCTGGATCTCTACCCCCACGGTCAGCCCTGCTGGCTCCGGCTCGAAGAACAACTGAGCTGTGGTAGGGGGGAGGCAGTCACAAACATGGAGGAAGACACCAAAATTACTAATGGTCTGAATCTGGCCCATATCTACAAGGCTACCACTTATCAAGTGGCCAAGTGACTACTTGGAATTAGGGGGCCAGGTCTGGTTGCTAGCTAAACCAGATCTACTGCATGAGAAAGACAGGAGTAAAAAGATCTTCGGCATGAGTACAGGTTAGGGCCATATACCTCAAGCCAGAGCTGGGCCATAAGCAAAGTGCCATGCAGGACGATAAATGATTACTAAAATGCATGGGATTGACTGGTCATACAATCAACTGAGCCATCGGAATCATCTGTTGTTAGTGAGTGATCATGCACCCTATTTAGCCAATCACGTAGTAGCTATCTGAGCCCTGTCTAGCAAATCACAGAGTAGCTACCTGAGCCCTGTCTAGCCAATCACATAGTAGCTATCTGAGCCCTGTCTAGCCAATCACATAGTAGCTATCTGAGCCCTGTCTAGCCAATCACGTAGTAGCTATCAGAGCACTGTCTAGCCAATCACATAGTAGCTATCTGAGCCCTGTCTAGCCAATCACATAGTAGCTATCTGAGCCCTGTCTAGCCAATCACACAGCCCCCTACCTGTCAGATCCTCTTCCTGTTCCTCTTTGTTCTGTTCTTCTTCCTGTCGTTTCAGCACCTCCTCCCTCTCTCTCTCCATCTTCTCTCTCTTGTCCTGGTGTTTGCAGGGTTTCCTTGCCCCCGCACCGTTACACCTCCTAGGTGAACACATACTGTCTACGTCCTTGTCCACGTCGGACTTCTCTGGACCTGCAGAGAGATAGATACACAGTCACTCTACCACGTTCCACTACTTTGATTAATTAGGGAGATAGATACACAGTCACTCTACCACGTTCCACTACTTTGATTAATTAGGGAGATAAGAACAGAGTCCCTCTACCACGTTCCACTACTTTGAAGTGGGAGAAACTCATGGGAGAGAAGGTCCATAACAAAGGTAGGGCATATCACTCCTTCAATCAAAGTTCAAACAGTATGTTTATATGTATATACTGTCTATATATGATTCTATTATGTATATACTGTCTATCTATGATTATATTATGTATATACTGTCTATATATGATTATATTATGTATATACTGTCTATATATGATTATATTATGTATATACTGTCTATATATGATTATATTATGTATAAACTGTCTATCTATGATTATATTATTTTGCTACTGCAGAAACAGTGTCTTATAAGTCTATGTGGGCTGGGCATCCTGAAGATGTAACATATTATAATAATGAAATAATTCTGTTCAGTATACAAGAAAATAACAACACTTCTGTTCAGATGTTCGATAGACAAACAGAAGGGTGCATTACAATACAACTTAACTTAACCATTACCTTCTAACCTGACAGTTAACCCTGTTTAAAGACACCTACTGTGGCTTGCGAAAGTATTCACCCCCCCCTTGGCATTTTTCCTATTTTGTTGCCTTACAACCTGGAATTAAAATGGATTTTTTTGTATCATTTGATTTACGCAACATGCCTACAACTTTGAAGATGCAAAATATTTGTTATTGTGAAACAAACAACTTGAGCGTGCATAACTATTCACCCCTCCAAAATACTTTTTTATTTTTTTTTATTTTTTGGGGGGGTAGATCAGCTTGAATATTTCAGATAGATTGTAACTTCCATCAATGTATTTGTCTGAATCACTTCCAATCCCCCATATGGTTTTTTTCTCGCAAATATGTATATACATACATACATACATACATACATACATACATACATACATATAATACATACACACATACATATACACATACATACACACACATACACACACATATATATACATACATACATACATACATACATACATACATACATACATACATACATACATACATACATACATACATACATACATACATACATACATACATACATACATACATACATACATACATACATACATACATATATATATATACATACATACATACATACATACATACATACATACATACATACATACATACATACTACATACATACATACATACATACATACATACATACATACATACATACATACATACATATATATATATATACATACATACATACATACATACATACATACATACATACATACATACATACATACATACATACATACATACATACATACATACATACATACATACATACATACATACATACATACATACATATATACAGTGGGGAGAACAAGTATTTGATACACTGCCGATTTTGCAGGTTTTCCTACTTACAAAGCATGTAGAGGTCTGTAATTTTTATCATAGGTACACTTCAACTGTGAGAGACGGAATCTAAAACAAAAATCCTGAAAATCACATTGTATGATTTTTAAGTAATTAATTTGCATTTTATTGCATGACATAAGTATTTGATACGTCAGAAAAGCAGAACTTAATATTTGGTACAGAAACCTTTGTTTGCAATTACAGAGATCATACGTTTCCTGTAGGTCTTGACCAGGTTTGCACACACTGCAGCAGGGATTTTGGCCCACTCCTCCATACAGACCTTCTCCAGATCCTTCAGGTTTCGGGGCTGTTGCTGGGCAATACGGACTTTCAGCTCCCTCCAAAGATGTTCTATTGGGTTCAGGTCTGGAGACTGGCTAGGCCACTCCAGGACCTTGAGATTCTTCTTACGGAGCCACTCCTTAGTTGCCCTGGCTGTGTGTTTCGGGTCGTTGTCATGCTGGAAGACTTGGGTTGTACTCGTCCTTCTTCTTCCTCCAAACACGGCGAGCGGAGTTTAGACCAAAAAGCTCTATTTTTGTCTCATCAGACCACATGATCTTCTCCCATTCCTCCTCTGGATCATCCAGATGGTCATTGGCAAACTTCAGACGGGCCTGGACATGCGCTGGCTTGAGCAGGGGGACCTTGCGTGCGCTGCAGGATTTTAATCCATGATGGCGTAGTGTGTTACTAATGGTTTTCTTTGAGACTGTGGTCCCAGCTCTCTTCAGGTCATTGACCAGGTCCTGCCATGTAGTTCTGGGCTGATCCCTCACCTTCCTCATGATCATTGATGCCCCACGAGATGAGATCTTGCATGGAGCCCCAGACCGAGGGTGATTGACCGTCATCTTGAACTTCTTCCATTTTCTAATAATTGCGCCAACAGTTGTTGCCTTCTCACCAAGCTGCTTGCCTATTGTCCTGTAGCCCATCCCAGCCTTGTGCAGGTCTACACTTTTATCCCTGATGTCCTTACACAGCTCTCTGGTCTTGGCCATTGTGGAGAGGTTGGAGTCTGTTTGATTGAGTGTGTGGACAGGTGTCTTTTATACAGGTAACGAGTTCAAACAGGTGCAGTTAATACAGGTAATGAGTGGAGAACAGGAGGGCTTCTTAAAGAAAAACTAACAGGTCTGTGAGAGCTGGAATTCTTACTGGTTGGTAGGTGATCAAATCCTTATGTTATGCAATAAAATGCAAATTAATTACTTAAAAATCATACAATGTGATTTTCTACATGCTTCTACATGCTTCTACATGCTTTGTAAGTAGGAAAACCTGCAAAATCGGCAGTGTATCAAATACTTGTTCTCCCCACTGTACATACATCCATACACACACATATCCTTTTTCCCTTCATTACTTTCCAACCCCACGACCCCTTCCCTAATTGGAGTAGACTAGTGAACAACAACGCTTAGGCCTCTACTTCCAGCCCATACATACTATATACATTTTATGGACACAGTCAATTTGACAATAATTATATTTTGTTTGTTTTTACTATTGAACTTCCTCCGATCATTTTCATGATGTCCATCTGGTTTGCTTCTATATGCCATATTTTTCTAACTGTGCTCTTTCACAAAAGCTCTCAACCTATAACCTATATACTTATTATGGACACAGTATGCTTTACATTAGTTATCTTGTTGTTATTAGTTGTTGTTATTAGTCCCATCCTTCAGCTCCATTCAACACCTCCCATCTATCTCTTAACACCATCCATATTGGATTTCTATTTGTGTCACGATCGTCGAAAGGAGTGGACCAAGGCGCAGCGTGATATGCGTACATCTCTTTAATAGAGTACTTTTCAACACGATACAAATAACAAAAACAACAACCGAAACGTGAAGTCCTCGGTCATACACCCAAACCAACACGGAACAAGATCCCACGAATCACAAGTGCACAAACAGTGCCTAAGTATGGTTCCCAATCAGAGAAACAAGAAACAGCTGATTCTCGTTGCCTTTTGATGAGAACCACCCCGGCCAACATAGAAACACATCACTAGAATATGAACATAGAAAACGAAACACAGGACACTTACACAACGAATCTAACCCACCCTGGACCTCAACCATTACACAGAGTCCCCAGAGCCAGGGCGTGACAGTTTGCCAAATATTTTTCAACTGTACTGTGATGTTTTACAAAAATTCTGAACCTTTCTATTCTCATTGTTTCTACAGATCGTAAATTGAATATAAACATTTTTGCTAAAAGTATTATTATATTATTAATCGATTGACTATGACTTTTCAGATCACCCAGTAGTGCTATCTGCAGGGTTAGCTCCAGGTAAATATTGCAATCCTTTAGCCATTCCTGGACCTGTGTCCAAAAACAAGCTACAAATGGACAGTACCAAAACAAATGATCTAATGATTCTGTCTCTTCGCAGCAAATCTGCAGAGCTGGGAAGATTGTATCCCCCATATAAATAACATTCTATTGGTAGCAAGAATTTTATATAATAATTTTAATTGAACAATTCTAAGTTTTGAATCCGGCGTCGTTTTGCGTATCAATTCATAAACACTATTATGGGTAGAGCAGACATTTCCATATGTTTTTGTTAGCTGCATGTGCGACATAACTCCACCAGTCCTACCAATAACATAATTTACAAAGATTATACCTTTTTTAAACATTTTGTCAAAAAAAAGGTTTTTTATCAATTAGTATATTTGAGTTTAACCACAATATTTGTTGCATTATTTGTTCTGTCGTTTCTGGAGAAATATATTGAAATTGCAACCAACTTTCTATGGCTTGTTTTAGAAATAGTGATATTCTTTTCAAATAACTTAAAGTGAGAGGTTGTAATCTGAATAAAGGGAAAAATACCATTGGGTGAGAGAATCTTACTAATTTGCTAGAGAACCAGTATAACTTTTGTATGACTGAAGCTTTTAGTGATAGGTCTAATCCTTTAATATTTAATAGTTTCTGTCCTCCGAATTCATATTCATTATATAAATAGGCCTGTTTAATTTTGTCTGGCTTGCCGTTCAAAATAAAATGGAATATTTGTTTCTCGTATAATTTAAAAAACTGTTCGCTGGGCGTAAGCAAGACCATAAGCAAATAGGTAAACTGGGATAATACTAAAGAGTTAATCAGGGTGATTTTTCCACAAATTGACAGGTATTTACCTTTCCATGGTAGCAAGATCTTATCTATTTTGCTAACTTTCTATTAAAATGTATTGGAGTGAGATCATTTATTTCATTTGGGATATGTATTCCGAGTATATCCACATCACCATCAGACCATTTTATTGGTAAGCTACATGGTAATGTAAAAATTGTATTTTTTTGTGATCCAAAATGTAATATAGTACATTTATCATAATTTGGTTGTAATCCAGAGAGGTTACAAAATGTATCTAGATCCTCTATGAGGCTGTGGAGGGATTCAAGTTGTGGATTTAAAAGAAAACATGAATCATCAGCGTACAATGACACCTTTGTTTTTAAGCCCTGGA